GCTGATTAGAGCAGAAGAATCACTTCCTTTGATTTGCAAGTGAACACTTTTGGTAATACAACCCAATATGCTGGGTTGTATGACTTTTTTTTGCAACAAGAACACAGTGTTGGCTCATATTTGGTTTATGCTCTACTGTAACCCCCAGGTCCTTGTCTGCAGTACTGCAGCCCAGCCAGTCATTCCCTAGTTCATTCAGTCCTTATCCTCTTATACTAATGTGAACAGCCAGTGGCCCCCCTTGGTCCTAGGTGGATTTGTGATATGCAACCCTGAGAAATGGATTGAGATCACCAAGTCCTTTACCACAGGCCACCCACCCCATCCAGATGGTAACTGTACTGGTCCACCTTGGAATTGAACTAGACATGAAAGACTCTGCATATTCCCATTTCTAATCCACCCAGCTGCACACACAAAATGAAATAAAATGGTGGTTGTTGATTTACTGTCTCAACTCTGCTGGGAGCATGAGCAAAGTCTTGTTAGTGATGGGCTTCAGAAGACTTCCCAGCCTTTTATTGTCAAGGGAGGGAGGCAAGGTACCTTCAGGTCTGTTTCATGCAATGAGCTGGTTGACGTTTTTCTATGTCCAACATCTTTGGGCACAATGACAAAATATTTTCTAGTTCCTTCTAGAAATGGCTGCAAGGAGGCTGAATATTCTCTAAACTTTGGTATCCATGTCAATTCAAGGGATCTGAAAAGGCCCCACCTTACCCCACCTTTCCTGTTGCACATGGGGCTCCCAGTTTGAGAAGTTCTAAATGATCAAGAAACAGGGGCAAATGCACAAGTGTGCATGCCTAAATCTAGGAATTTACATCCATATTTTAGGACCTTAATAAAAGTGCCTGGTTTACAGAGCTGTGCAGTTCACAGCTCTCCTGTCAAAAAGCTATCAATTTTAAGTAGCACAGTTCAGGCAGCCAGCTCCATGAAGTATGACCTGGATTCATCTCATTATGTACCACAGCGATGGTGGCTGAAATCTCTGACTTCTCAGCACTGTGACTTCGAAGAGACCTTTGCTGGCAGCGCTGACTATATTGACACTTACTGAAATCTGAGTCAGTACAGTGGGAGCAGCAATGTGTGGAGGAAATGCCTGTGTCTTGCTCATCGAGTCTTGAGCTTGCATGCTGAAGGTGGTATATATGGCAGTTGAACAGCACATCCTAGTCATAGCCTTACATATGGAACAGATCCACTAAGCTGTAAGGCTCTTTGGGGCAAGGACTGAAATTATTCAAGTGAAATTTTTTGCCCTGCTACTTGTATTTTGATGCCTGCTTAAGTTGGCAGCAAATTATTGCTCTGTCTTCCCCAAAGGGAAGGAGAAAGCAGGAAGGGGTTTTGTCTCAGGGAATCAGGTGGCCTTCAAGTCCCCATGTCATACAGACATACTCCAGGCATGGTGTAGCACACAGAGTGGTAAAGGCTAAGTGAGTAATATAGCACTGTGCCTTAACAGCAAACTGGAAGAGAAATGTGGTTCTGGCCCCACCAGCCCTGTGGTTTTAGTCACTGGAATTGTGTCCTCAGAGCAGTAAATCCTCTGCAGGACAGGTGGAAATTTAAAACCAGGATGATGAAAGAGCTTCTGGTCCGATCCAGTAGAACAGAGACTCAGGTCAAATAGGATGCAGCTGTAGGGATTAATTCTGGGATACACTCATACAACACATGCACACACAAACAGAGAGAGAGAGAGAAAGAGAGAGAATTATCATTGATTTCGAGTCAGTCTGATCTTTGTAAGCAAATGTGAGGGCACAACTTAGCCCCTTAGGTATTTAACTAGTAATAAATTCCTGCGAGAAAGAAGGGATAGGGCACAATAATTCTGTTACAGATACCATTAACCAAACAATTCATCTCTGCCTCCGAGAAGGCAGCTCCTTGTTTGGAATTCACTGACAGTAATAAACTGCTCCGGCATTGCAGCTTATATTTAGCAGGCGCTCTCCAATGAATTACTGCCTGCTTTAAGCAAAGTGCAGACATCTGTTCCTGTGTAACTAAGTGTAGTTGATGCCACAAGAAGTTGCTTGCAAAGCTATAAGAACTGATGTTTGGGGTAATGACGCTCGTAGAGCTTTACACAAGTTTTGTAGATATAGCAATTTATTCTCCCACCCTAACCCCCACACAGCTCCTATTGATGCAAACGTATCAAAAAGAAAAACAGACCCTTGCATGTGCACTCAGAAAAGCAAAAGGTTTGGCTGTAAAGTCTTATCATTTGGCACTGAATTCTCTTTGATTGAAATATCATCTCTGATTGCTCACTCACCCCCCTGAGCATCTGGTTTTCTCTTTGCTTTGGTACTGATTTAACAAACAGGGCAACCTCTCCCCGCCACCTTTCCCCTGCCCCAAACGCACACCCCTACTCCGAACATACAGAGTTTGGTCACAAAGAAGAAACTAGTCTGAGCAGCAGGGCTGGCACCCAGCTCCAGGCTTCTTGTGTGGGGCCTGTCCTATCCCATGGGAGTACTGTGTGGTTGAGTGAAATAGCTGTGCAGCACGTTCTTTGCAACCCATAGGGGAGGTGTGGGGCAGGGAGCAGAACGGCCTATACATTTTGGAACTTTTCCCTCCCACTGCCCCTGCCAGCCCACCAACACTGCTGTGTGGCCAGCTTTACAGCGTGTGGTGCGACTTCTGGTCAGTCAAGCTTTGAGCTGCACATAATTTATATTGCTTGCCAGGGCTGCTTTGTTGGCTATTTAGGCCTAATTGGTATTTCATGAAGAATGGGATACTTGTGTGAGCCTTTTCATTTTGACTGTAGCATAACTAGGGGTGGATGAGTTGTGCTGGGCACCAACGTGGATGAGCCACAGGCACTGGTTTAAATGAGGTATAATATCGGTTGCTGTTGCTGCTGATAACCACGTTGTCACTGCCGCAGCCAGCGGCCCGGCTACTGCCTCTGCTCAAGGCATAAAAATGGCTTGTTACACCTCTGCTTTCTGATGGGCCTGATTCCTGGATAGTGTTAAAAGGCACAGTCCCATCCAGGCAGATTAACACCAGCTGAGTAACTGGCCCTAATTTTCTTTAAAGGACCCACCATGGTCTGTAAGAAACCTTGATCATTCCCATTTTCAAAACTGGCATCTAATTTTGATTGGCTAGTTTTAGACACCTTGGGTCAGGTTTTCAAAAGAGCTTAGTATCCAGCAGCTCCTTTAGGCCCCTACATAAGTGGCTGGGTTTTTAGAAGTGCTCGATACCCACTGACAGCTGCTGGAAACAGAGTCCTTTTGAATCCTCGGGCATTTCATTTGTGTGTTTCTATGAAAACTGAGCTTTCTTGATAACCTGGCCTCTGGAGCGCTGGATGAAACTGAGGAATGAAAAGCCACATTTTAAAATTTGGACGCTAGATAAAGATTCAAGTTAAATAAGAGGATATGGGTGATATCAGAAGAAATGTTCCTCTTAGGTAAGATGTATTACCTCACTGTATTCCCATTTCCCATCTCTGAAATGAGTCTGATGAGGTTTACTTCCTTCATAGAGTGCTTTGAAACCTGCAGATGAAAAACTCCCTGTATATGAATATCATGACTGTTGTTGCCACCGTTATTCTGCTCCTTTAAACCAGGAGACAACTATTCATAAGGAGCAGTCAAGGTTCTTTAATGTACCGGCCTCTGAAAAGGGGTAAAGAAATTCGTTCCGAATGAGCGGGAGGTATGTTGTCTAATAATAAACAAAGGATACTAGGATTGAGATGCGTCTCTCTTCCAGCTTCTGCTACGGACTTGCAGTGTAATGGCGAGTCATTTAAACGTCCTTCCCCAACTTAACATGAGCATTTTCCTTTCTTAGTCTTATACTCTGAGACCTTGGCCTGGACATGCTATGTACATACAAAATATTGTTAAAAGCTAGAGGAAGGATCTATATAGAGCTTCCATTGTTCCCTGAGCAAGTCCTGTAAATGCGTCATACGGGGATGGAAGGTTACAAGCTTGCTTCAAACCTTGTATAATGGAGTGCAGGTCATCTGAAAAACAGAGTTACACACTTCAAGCAGGTCAGAGGCTGGCCCTAAGCTTTAATTTGCTTCTAATTCTGCCATTAGGTTACAATTACTGTTGCATTTAATACTATTATAATCATGCCACAGAGGGGAGCCAGGGGGTCAAAGCTATCTGAGGATTTCTAGGCTGCTGCGTGCAGCATCAAAAGGAGAGGTTCTTAGGCTCCACTGGAGAAAGCTCCAGACATCACCAGGGTATGTATGTATACCCCAGAAGTCAAGATTTACTGGTGTAGGAGTGACAGAATAGGCAAAGTGCTGGTACTATCGATACAGTTATACTGGCAATGTTGTCCGTCATACTGGTAAAATAAACCTGCCCCCCCCCAAGCAACACAAGCTGTACCAGTATAACTGCGTCTACAATAGGGGCTTCTGCTTGCACAGCTCTGTCAACATGGATTACATCTCTTCGGGGCCCTGACTGACATAACTATTTAACAGAAGACTGTAGGGCACATGTAGCCTCCCAGACATATATGCGCAATTGATTTTTGATGTGCTGCTGAGATTAGTGATTGATGTCTATCCTGTCACGGACAGGGTCAGATGCTACTGAACTATCCTTGGACATGAGAGGGGGCAGACTCACAGGGGAGGAAGTGGTCCCGTGCAGCAGGTGAGTGAAGCGTCCTCCATCCCATCTCAGAGACTCGAGTGCTCTGAGGCAGCGCGAAACGGAAATCCGAGGGACCCTTGTCCGTGTTCTCTGACTGTCGCCATGCTGGGGTCAGACCCAAGCATAAGGCCCGACTCTCGCCTCACAGACATCAGTGTATTGCAGGAGTCATTCCATTACGGTAACTTGTGTGGATTTATACCAGTGTGAGTGAGACCAGAACCGTAGCTTCTGTTGCCCCAAACCCATTCTGCCGCTCCCCCTATCCCCCGCTGCCCAAATTGTTGCCTCAATTCAAATCAGAATGTACAAAGCGTCACAAACATGAGCTGTTTTTCTTTATTTTACTCTTTTTCAGTTCTTGTACAACCAATCACTTCTAGTCTGGCATTTAAAAAAAAAAAATGCAACAAAGAATTGACAGCCATATTTTCAATAACTTAATTCTGAATGTTGCAAGGCATCTATTGTCATAAAAGAAAAGTGTCTCTATTACAGGCTTTTGTTACTGATGACTATGCAAGGAGAGAGATGCACTATAAGAAATAAAGGACAAAAAAAAAGCAAAAGGCCAGGAAGCTACATTGTTTAGCGAGCACTGCCAACATTAATTTATGGCGTTGGAAATAAATGAGTGCAGACTGTTATGGCACAACCTCTGGATTAAATGTATCTGCATTATGTGGCTACTAAAACTTTACTTTTACAATATACACTTTCAATCAAAGCAACACTGAAGTCAATAGTGATAGTTCTTGGAGGTGTATTTTACTTTCAGGCACTGTTGTTTCCAAGAGAAGCATGAGCAAGGACATATGTCTCTGTGCAATGCTGACTGCTTGTGGAAAGAGATCTCCCAGAAATCCTCTCAAATCGATTCCTTCTTTGGAAGTACCCACTGCTGCTGTTAAAGGACCGTTGCCTGTTCCTTAGATATTCCTTGTAGTTTTTGGTCAGCAGGGTGTAGAGGAAGGGGTTAATGCAGCTGTTGCTATATGTCAGGCACGTTGTCAGATAGTTAATGTTCCTCATTGCTTTGGGAGACAATGGGAAGGATTCATAATATTGGAAGAGGAGCTGCCATATCCAGAAGGGCAAGAAGCATGCCCAAAAGACCAGCACTATTGTGAAAATTAAATAGAGCACTTTTTGGTTAGGCAGCCTCTTGGTCTGTTTGAAAGTGGCTGTTTGGGACACCCAATAAGTCCTAGCGAGTCTAATATAAAGGTATCCAATGACCACTCCGGGGCCCACAATGCTTGTACAAAAGAGGATGGTGATATAGATTTTGTATGACAGCTTGCTCCATGTGGGCAGACAAATACTTTTGTTGTCTCTTTGCACTAGCTGGATCATGATGAGCATGGGAAGAGTAAGCAGCAGAGATACCAGCCAGATGACTACGGCAATGGCTTTCCGATAGCTTTTTGACCTCTTCACTGTGTCCAGGGGCTTCAGCACTGCAAAGTAGCGCTCTGTACTCATGACTGTCAAGGTGAAGATGCTAGCATGCATGGTGAGGAAATCCAGACTGAACAAGATGCGGCAACCAATGTCTCCGAAGTACCACTCCTGAAAGAAATATGTTCCAACGATGAAGGGAATGGTAAGAAGGTAGAGCAGGTCTGCCAAGGCAAGGTTAATGATATAAATATACATAGAAGCAGAGTATCTCAAGTAATGGCACATCACCACTAAGGTGTAGACATTGCCTGTCACTCCGATCACACACATAAGAGAGAGGATAGTCCCAATGGTGCAAGTGGCTATTGTGTCTTCCATTGAATTGGCAGCTGGTGTGCTGTCCCAGCTGACATTGTAGGAAGAGTTGGAGCCGATTCTGAATGGGCTCCCTTCACTTGTATCTGTGGCCATCTGGGTGGTTGCTGAATATCTATTCTCCAGCTCTTCATTTAAAGACATCTTGAACTCCTTGCTCAGCTGCTCTTTTCATAACTTGGAAATCTTTTGGTCAGTTCTTTCTGGTCTGGAAAGATGGGCAGTGCGGAGGATAATAACCATTTCTTAGCAGGTTTTCATGTGAGGAAGGAGAAGGAACACTTGACTGCCAACCTGCAGGATGAATCCCAGTTTCTGCGCTAGAGGAAATGAAACAGGAAACAGTATGTTAAAAGTTTGACAAAGCAACAGACATCTAGAATTCATCCCAAAGTCAGCCCTCTCTGATTTCTGTGTTGCTTGTGTAAATAGCAGATCTTCCATAATGGGATGATGCCCATATACAAAGGCTCATGAAGGTCTTGGAGGACTCATAGGCATAGAGGAGTCCAGCACTGAACCCCCAGATTGCTAGCTGAGGGGAAGATTAGAAAGAGATTCAGCTTACTATAGGGCTTTCTGAATACTGCCACAGCACTTAATTCAGAATTTGAGATCGAGAAAGTAAGCCCTTCTCAGGTTCATAATAGCAACATGCTTAATTACCATCACCATTACTAAATGAGAGGGGCCTGGCAGCCAAACTTCTCTGTGGGAAGGTGTCCAAAGCCATTCCTATAGATTAAACACTGTGTAGGGGAGCAGCACCCTCACCTATACCACAGTGTGTAAGCCAAAAGTGGCCAATTGGCTAGCGAGTGCCACAAGTACTACTTGAAGCCTCTGTGTGGCATATGGTAGATCAGGGAGGAGATGGGCAGAAAGTAGAAGGTAGAGCACTGATTATGGAGCAGAAAGCAAAACAGCAAATTTGGCAAAGGACAGGGATTGGAGTGGCAGCCAGGGAAGCTGAAGGGCTAATTTGTGGCATTTCTGCCATAAAGGTTGGCCCCCACTGGTGTAAGCAACATAGCTGCATTTCCCTGACACTTTGGGCAAGACAGCATTACTGAGTGAAAGTAGCCACTGGCATGTTCATGTCTTTGCGTGGCCATGGCTACGCTGCTTCCAGTTTAGGAGATGGTGGGTGCATCTACATGTGCGCTTAAATGAGCATTAACTATTTTAACGCGCGTTAAAGCATCATTAAACATGTGCTTTTCATTTGATGCGCATTAAAATAGGTTAATGCACATTAAGTGTCACTTAAAAACTGGGAGCCTACACATGAGCACAGAGGCTGCGCTGACATGTTGGAGCTTCAGCATGTTGGAGCAGATTAATCAAGTCTGCGCTGCACACACTGCAGCAACCTCCTGCATCTCATCATCAGTGTCCTCTCACTTAAAAGTGGTGGCAGGGGCACTTGAACTAAAGCTCCTTGAATGAGCTTTAGTTCAAACGCCCCTGCCACCACTTTTAAGCATGGGGACGCCGATACAAGAGACGCAGCAGTGCTTTAATTAGAGTGGCTCTTGGAGTACCTCACAATGGTTGCCTAACCAAAAAGCGTTTTCTAGTACCCGACAACAGAGGTATTAGATTTAATGCACATGAAGTAAAGCTTGTTAATGCATATGTAGACTTGCCCAGTGTGTTTGAAGCCGCTCAGAATGCTTGAGGGCGCAGCTTTTGCCAGGCAGTGTAAGTTTACCACACAGACAGGACCCAAGATACCAAGAACTGGGATACCAAGCCTTGGCTTGACAATCTGCAACCAGCACTCTGTATTTTTGCACGTGATCAATGCTCACAATTCCCCAAAACAACCAAGCATTATCAAGTAATGCCTTTCAGAACAAGAGATTGTCACTATAACTTCACTTTTTGCAGTTTGAATATTGTAATTGCAGGGGGACCCCCCTGAAAAACCAGGGATTTCTGATCTATTTCTCTGTAAGGAGTCATGCTGTACCTGGACCTGCTCAAAGCAAGCTCTCCTGTGAGTTTGTGAGTGCATGTGTATACCTAACTGACCCAATCAGTGTGACTTACAGATACTCAATTATGTGCATCTGCTGTCCCGGTTTTTCCAGACACACATGCACCCACATGCACACGCACATACATTTATGCATTTTCTGTGACATGGTTGTCCCCATGCAGACTCTCAGTATGCTCTGTGTTTTCATTATATACATTTGTTTTCTTAAGCCCTACCAGCTCCTGTGGGAAAGCCCCCCACAGAAAGGTGCTCTGCCATACTTATTTCTTGCAAGTGTTTCCTTGCACAGATTTTACTCCAGCTTTTACCCCCTTGAGAACATGGAGCATGCTTCATCAAGGTAATGGCTGGGAGGTCTAGCCCCCAGATGCGTGGGGTCCTTGGAGATCTGCGAGAAGCCCTGTGCCTCCACCTTGGCTCTGGCCCTTCCTCCCATTTGCCCCCTGGCAATGAGATGACATTTCTTGGCTCCTTCTCCATCTGAAGCTGTATGGGAGGACCCTGTAGACATGGGAAAGATTAATACAACCACTGTGGAGCCAGAGGGTGGACAATTGCACATCCTTCCTGTGGCGCACCCACTCCTTTAACTGGCCCATCTGGTCTCTATGCATCACCTCCACACATGGCCGTGCCTTGGAGAAAGTGGCAGAGAAAGTCCATATAACCAGGTTGGGATCAAAGAGAATTGCCCTGGCATAGTACTTGGGACAAGGAAGCAAAACAACAAAAAGCAGAATACATAAAATCATAATACACCCCCAGCCCCTTATAACAAAAAGACCCAAATTGGGGGGGTAGGAGGAGTGGGAAGGGGGGTTACTGAGGCTGGTGGTTATGGTACAGGAAGCCAACTGTGCTCATTCCAAAAACAGCCTCTCTCGTCTCCGCTCCCCCAGTGCAGCCATCAGCTCACCTGGTCCGGACCTAGCAAAACCAGGTCCTCCTCCATGAAATATGATGGGGCTGAGCCCCACTCCATGCTTTCTCCCCCATCTATATGCATGCAGCCCCATCTGCTTCCTTGTCGCTCACCCCGCCTGAGTATTTGTTTATTCATTCAGATCTGTGCTGCCAGGGAGTGTCATGCCTGGAAGGCACGCGCGCTCGCTGGCTCTGTTGGTGCCTTGGGAGATGGCTGCCGCACAATCCCCTGCACACTCTGCTAGAATACAAATAACTCAGCATGGGATGCTCCAGCCAAGTCCAGCCACCGCTCACATGGAGCACGCCCAAGCACAATTCGTCTCAAACAGGCTATGTTTCATTAAGCGTGGGGGTTCTTTTTGTCACCATCATTGATGATTTCCTGCAGTTCCCTCAGGTTCAGCTTTAGGCACTTTAAGGGGATCTGAAGCAGTAGTTTGATGAAATGGCACATTTTCAAGGTGATTTGAGTGCTTTACTGCAGTCACCCAACAAGAGAGGTATCTCTTTCTTGGAGACAGCAGCACGCACCACGCCTCCTGCCTACACTGCTTATTCTAAGCTCAGTAATTGCTCAAGTTGCAAAAGTACGGAAACCACCAAGTTTAAATGGAACGCCTCACTTGCCTTCGCACACAGCTGTACTGCTCCTCAGGTCTGTGAAGAGCAAAATGAAGCAACCTAGAGAAATCTTTAATTGCTCTAAAAGTCTTTCTGGCTATATAATTGTATACTGTCTTCCTTCCTCCCATTTCCCTCTCCCCATCCACACACACAATCAATAAATAGCCGGTTACTCCGAAGTAGCATATCATTCCTCCCGACATTTCAGAACACTAGCCGTACAGCACAATTAATTTCCTCAGCCATTCATGCCTTTCCTCCGACAGTATCACCTACATACACCATGCACATTTCAAGTTGTTACAAAAGAAATGAATTGTCATGTTCAAACCTGGCTGTTAAATCCTGTTGATGAAGTTTCCTACAGGAAAGAACAAACAAATCTGCTTGTTTTTTTGAAAAGATTCAAGACAGGAATTTCTTTTTTTTTTTTTTAAATTGCAAATCCTTCTTTGTGGATAGGCAGTGCGAGGTCTGCGTTGTGCATCTGGACAAGCAGCGCTGAGGAGTGAGTGCACTACCTAGCCAAGTATGTTTGAAATCTGTGCGCTCTTAATACTCCCATTCTCCCTTCACTCATGCCTGCTATTTATGTTACTCAATGACGTTAGGCATAATGTAGCTCTGACTGCAGCTAGCTGCGATCCTTTTTAAAGCAGCAGTATTTGATCGCCACGGCTGGTTTTGTTAGCTCCCCACCTGATTGGCCAACAGCCAGCTGGGAATGCAACATGTCAATATTGTTTTTACCCCAAGACTGGTTATACTAGAAACCACCCTGCCTCTCCTTCCATCACATAGGAGAACACAGATTCCTAATACTGGCTGAGAAACAAACCTAGTGTTAGGGAAGTGGTATAGGTTATTTTTCATATATGTATGCACACACACACACATATATATACACATATACACACATGTTTGTGTGTGCAGTGTTAGGGAAAAAGCATTCACCATAAGAAAGTGTTAAATTCCTTGGGTGAGAGCTGGCTGGCCAGTGAAACGGTACACTCAATTCAGAGATCAATTCCAAAGAGAAAGCAAAGTTTATTTGGATCCGAGGTAATATTAATACGTGAATCTGTGTGATGGCATCATGCCTGACAGCCTCTCTGCCCCTTTTCATTGGCAAAAACAAAAAGGCACCCGAGTCTTTTCGAGTTAGCTGGATTCCCTTTTGTTGGTGCTAGGGAAGGAACATTAAGACAGTGAGGGATCCATAGGGCACTTAACAAAACCATTCAGAAATGGGATGGGGCTGAGAAATTCCCAGGCAGCAGCTCAGGGGAGAAAATTAACATCTGAGTATTATTTGCAAAGTCTCGGTTTGAGTTGTATCTCATTTACCTCAGCTTTACCCCACGGTAGTTCCACTAACATCAACAGACACCTCTGATGTACATAGCGAGCATGCACGAAGCATCAGGTCCATTTCCTTCCACGGTGCTCCTCCTGACTTCTGTCACTGCGGGGAGGTGATAATTAGGATCATATTTTGCTGTGCTCACAGTCAAATGGCAGAGCAAATAGATGAAGTTTCCAGGAACAGTTGCTCTCTGATTTGAAGGCAGCACTACGGTGGACACAGCTGACTCCAGGCTTCAGCGCTTTGGAGCTGATGCTCTCTCTTTCTTTGTTATTAATGAGTTAATGATTGTCTTTAATTCCCTTTTTTATCTCATTCTCTTAATTGTCAAATTGTTTTTTCTTCATTCTCCATTTTTAATATTCCTTTTCTTGCCATCTGGGAACTCTCAAATGTCTTTTGTTACTAAGGTATGCCTATGCTGCAGAGTCAATTTGAGTTATCAGTGTTCAAGTTAACTCCTCTCGCTCTCGACTAGCTTGAGGGAGAGCTTTCACACTCTGAAAGAACACTTGAGCTACTTTGAGTAGTTGTGGCAGTAGCTGAGGAGTTGTTAAGCTTAGCTGTAGCCTTTACCCCCCGAAGGCCCAGCCAAATTGAGTTGAAAGCACCACCGTTCAGGAACCAAGGGGCTTTGTGTGTGTGGTTGAGACTCGAGTTAGGGACAAACCCTTAAGTGGGTTACAACTCCACTTAAGTCTCCAGTGAAGACAAACACCTTAAGTCAGCATCACTACTAGAGAGTAATTAAGAACTTAAAACCCAGTGACCAACTCCCTTGAATTTGGGGATTTTTGCTTTAAATCTCAATCAAAACAGATTTTTTTTCTCTAGGTACCATCTCCCATCAATGATAAAGTGCTGATTGTTCTTTAGTAAACTGTCCTTTTCCTCCCAGTGGAGAAAAATCCACCAGTAAAACTTGAATCCCCCTCGTCCCACCCCAGCCCCTTTACCCCTGCATCTTAAATGCAAATATACTGGCAGTTGTGGTTCTAGTTTGTGTTGCTTGCCTGTGACTATTGCCAGAAATACATGTTTTATTCTCTCCTGTCTTCTTGTCAATGGCCCTTTCTAGCTGTCAAGTTCCTTCCCATTTGCTACTGATCACTAGCAAAGACACTATTAAAATGATTTAAATGAAAGGTTTTGGCATTGTTTGCAGAGGACTCTTTGGTAAGAATTTTCTGCTGAAATGTTTGCTTGGGCTTGAATTCCTTGTTGTGAGTGTAAATCAGGAACAAGGCCATTAATTCAATGGAGCAAAAAGCTGTGTGTGTGAGGGGCGAATCAGTCTTTTTCACTCTGATCTGATGGTTAAACCATTCTCTAAGTAAAAGGGTTACCAAGAAATAGGCTTTAGGCTATCACACTTTCAGAACATGTACGTATATATATAAAAAATCTAAGAAGGGAACTGCTTGGCTTGGAGGACTGATTAGCTAGGCTAGAAAACCCACCACCCCCACAGCTATGTTTCAAATTCAACCCATTTTGGAGCTGTTGCTGTTGGATAGTGAGTTGTGCGAAATGAGTGTGTTTTAATGTTGTTTTGATATAGTCTGGAGAAGAGAAGAATGAGGAGGGATTTGATAACAGTCTTCGAATACCTGAAGGGCCATTACAGACTGGCTGGAGATGGACTTTTTTCTGTGGTGGTAGGGGATAGGACTAGGAGCAACAGTCTTAAGCTGCAGCAGAGGAAATTTAGGTTGGAGATTAGGAGGAGCTCTCTGACTAGGTCAAGCAATGGAACAGGCTACTTAGAGAAATTATGGACTCTCCATCCTTAGATGCTTTCAAGAGCAGGTTGATAAACACTTGGCTGGAATAGTTTAGTCAGGGATGATCCTGCCTTGCACATGACCTAGTGAGGTGCCTGCCCGCCCTACTTTCCTAAGTTTGTATGTTCTGGGAGGGGTAGGCGTCTGTGTGGCACAAATGACCAGAACTAGTTAGTCATCTCAGCAGACAGGCCAAAGCTGAGTTGCCTGAACTGCATTCTCAGCCCTGGTAGCGGTGAGTTGTGGTGCATTGGTAGGATGCTCCTGCCTGCCCTGTTCCCTATAGAAAGAAAACTTCTAGCCTCAGGACTATCCTGATAACACTTGAACCACAGATAAGCCTTAGCACCAGGTGCATCATCCCCAAAGAAAATGCTTTGAAAAGCCTGAGCCCTTCTGACAATAAACAAGTGCGCTGCCTACATAGAAATATAATCCTGGTCAGTGGATTTGTTGTGCAGCCTGCTTTCTCGGCACATATCACAGGCATCTAGGAAAGCAGTTGATAGCTCTTGACTTCCCATTTATGGACGATTGCCCCAGGTAGCGTGTAAAAACACTTTGCAAACATCCACGCACTCTGGAATACAATGTGGAGGTCTGCTCTGCTGTCAAAGCACAGGGAGCTGCCATTATTGCTAACTAGAGCCACATGTGTTCCTCCGGCAGCTGAGCCCTGCAGTAATCATTATTAGAGTAGCCTTGAGAGAGGCTTAAGAGGGAGCTTGGGCG